CTCCATAATGAAAAAAAGACCAACATCTATGAGTTTTTTTTTAAATTTAATTCTACTTAAGATACCGCCACTCTTCCTATTCAGAGCCTGGTGCTCCACAGCTCCAAGGTTACTGAAGAAGTTGTCAACATCAACCTCCAATTAGCACCGCTGAGGAATTACACACAGTTTTCATGTCAGCTGTGCCTAGCATGGGATTCCCAGCATTAATACTTTATGGATGATGTAACAGAAACTCGATTAATGACTGTCTCTCCTTAATAAGAACTTAATTAACATCATCCTTTTTTTTCCTTTTACTCCTCACGGTGAAGCCTTTTTTAACATCCCCACCGTCTCTCTCATTTTCAGTCATTCTCCCCACTCGTCCCTGAACACTCCCTTCTCTCGCTCTTCCCTCTCACCGAAAAAAAAAAAAAAAAAAGCAACCGTCTGACTCATCCCTGGCTAATGAGTGGTAGGGTATGGATGGGAGGATGGGAGGAGGGGAGAAAAGGAGGGCAGGAATGAGGATCTGACTCATGTCTCATATGACTTGAGATTAAGCCTGGGAATGTGGTTATTGCTTCTCTGTGTCACTTATTTCACTTTATGCTGGCTTCCTTGTACAACTGACAATAATTACCGAAGCTCTATTGATCTCTTTTATACAGATGCATTTACTGATTTTGCCGTATTACGTCATTTTTTTTTAATGTGGAATTGAGACTGTCAAAATAAATGATTTTTTGCCTCATGTGGCTCAAATATTAGATTAAATTTTAATGGTCCTTGTAGGGAAATTGGGTCGATTCAACCATAAATAGTCAATGAATACAGTAAAAAAAAAAAAAGCAGAACACACTAAAGACTGTGTGAAACTTTACAATCAAAGTTTATTATACATAGAATTGATATAGAAGATGAAAATGCTCAGATATATGCACTGCAAATATGTTTTTTTAAGGAGGCAGCCAATTTCCGTTATCCTGAGAAATCTGTCTTAGCTTGAAAATGTTTAGTTTTGCGTCCACTCAGATCTACTCTCAACTACTTACAGATCTGTTGAACGTTCAAAGTATCCGCGATTTATTTTCCCACCTGATAACTGGTGTTGTCCTGTTTTCATTGTATATTTGTTAAAAGCTGGTTTTAACTGTGACTTTGCTGTTGGAAGAACAGTTTCCAGGAAAAGCATCAGGCTGGCCCAGATGTCAGCTTAGAGGAGCTTTGTATGCGTAGCTGGGTTCGTTCCATCTCTCTTTCTCTCTCTCTCCCTCTCTCCCTCTTTCTCTCTTCTCACACAGACACACACCCTACACTTCCTGAGGTTTTGTATGCATAGCTGTACTCTCTTGTGAACAGAGCTTACTGGTATTAACCCAGTTTCACTTTTCACGCACGAAGGCCCTTTCCTTAGGGAACAGCCTTGTGGGATAGAGAGAGGAGTGGAAGAGGCAGGAAGGATAGAGTGAGGGACTGAGAATACTTGTATGAATGTCAGGGCCTTTTCATCGCATGTGAAACAAAAAGCGAATTCTCCCTAAGCGGTTTCCAAGGAAACTGTGCTGAAAGAAAGTCTGGTGCAAACTAAAAAAAGGTCACCATGGGAGGTGACCTCCCACTGTTCTGTGACTGTCATTGTCAGGCTGAAAAAAATTTACATTTTCACATCTTATTAAAACTGAGCACTTTGGTAAGATATATATTTATATTGAAGTCTCCTGCAAAGGACAGTTTTACCAGTCAAAGTGGTCAACTGAGCAGTTTGATCAGCTCATGCTTTCCGTTTTGTCTTAACATTCGCCTGACAGAACCAGTGTCTTTTCATGCAGGTGGTGTATGTTTATTTTTGTCCTTGCTCAACCCCAGGTGCCGCTGAGCCAGGAGTGCATGCGGGCCATGATGAGGATGACTTACTGTCCTCACTGCCGTGGCATGGCCTCTGCCAGACCTTGTGCCAACTACTGCAGCAACGTCATGAAGGGCTGTCTGGCCAACCAGGCTGACCTCAACACCGAGTGGCGGCATCTAGCAGGTGGGAAGCACACACACACACACATTTTCACATGGATCCAGCTCGGCCATATGTTAGCTCAAAGGTTCAGTCGGACACATGATGTTAATAAAACGGAATACTTCTACCGCATGTGAAACGTTTTACGCTTTTCTTTCACGCTAACCGTACGAACTGTCTTCGCAGAAACAATGATGCAGGTGGCCTTCCGCTTGAACGGTCCATCTGGCGTGGATAGCGTGGTCCTCTCCCTCCCCAGTCGCATATCAGAGGCCATGTTTACCATGATGGAGAATATAGACACGGTCAACAGCAAGGTCAGAATGCTCACTGGTGCACACACTCGCACATTTAAACAGCTGGCTGAAGCATGCAAACTGTTTCGCTACACGTTGAAAAAGATATCAAATGATGTCGTGAGTTAAACCACAAAGTTGCAAACATAAGTCTAAGCCGCCGTGGCCAATACTCATACATGATACCACATCATGTTTGAATGGCACTTACTTAACTTACCAAAGTTTCTTGGAATTTTTTACTTTGGGTAAAGACACCAAATAGGGAGCAGACGTGTAAAATAGAACACAGCCTCAACATTATTGGAATATACACTCAGTGTGATGGTTGGGACTAGAGAAATCAGTAAAGCTAAGATAATATTGGATAAGATGAAACTCCAATGACCCAGAATTTTGCCAAATTTTGCTAAATAAATAAATAAAATGCAGTGCCTAATAAAAAAGCAATAAGATATGAGTATGATACATTACTATGAATAAAACAAGTAAGCCAAATTAACTATTGACATGTTGTACATTAAAGTGACATTTAATAAAGTATCGCACATCAAACTGAATCATTAGATGAATTAAATGAATTATTAAAGCAATTTACTTTGTGCAGTAGCTGTGACATTTTCCCATTGAGGCAAATGCTCTTGAGTCTGTTGCAAAAGCCTCTTCGGAGGACGAACTGACGCTCCGGTACACAACCTTCCATCACAAATAAGGTGATTGACGCAGGTTATGAATCGTTAACATCTCGCTCTAAATAAAGCAGAATAATTATCGAGTGTTGGGACTATTTTTAACTAGGCGCGTGCATCCGTCAGCCAGCCTATGGCAGCTTTGTGGCACATACTGACACTTTTGTGGCAGGTTACAATCAGTCACACGCCAACCACATCCCTGGTTAGACTTAAATGTATATCTTTTATTCCCGTTGGAGGAAAGTAAATCAAAGCCAAATTAGCAACATACATCCATAAAATGGTCTACTCTATATTTTAAAAGGCCCTACAAGCCTATTTTTGCAATCTACCTCTTACTGTAAGTACCGTACACAGGCAAACCATTTCCCAGAATTGCTACCTTTTTTTTTCCTGTATTTGTGTTTTCCAACCGTGCTCTTCTCAGCAGTTTGAATCGGGCGGGGCTCAAGTTCAAAGGCCACCACGGGACAGCTTTGTATATACAATTAACACCTATCCTCCTTAACGCCGCCGTAATAATCCACATACCTGATGTTAAATGAAGGGATGTGAGTCACGACAGAGCCCGAGGGCCAAGCGTTTACTTCACTGTTTAATGGTGTTTGGGCAACAGTTTTATGTGATTCTTAAGAGCGACTGGCAGCGGTGAAAAAACTGACCGAGTTGTTTGGTGAAGGTGGAAAACAGTGTGAACGGCGAGAGGAAAAGACAAAGCTTCCTCTGTGCTGTTTGGCTGTTAAAGGAGCCTGGCTAGCTTGAGGTGAGCCGTAGACTGGCGGTCTGCCTCTGACCTGGTTCAGTATGGTAATCACATGCTGCTTCTTGCTTCTGATCTTCATCTCTCGGGAGAAAGCTCTAGCGCTGATCGCATTGAAGTCAACTGATGTTCAAAGTGTTGCGGTGTAGCGTTGAGCAGATTATCTCCTATTTACATAATCTGTTAATGTCAAAAGCCTGTGTTGTTTCTCCAATACAACATAAGCAGATATAGAAACTGCAGCATTCATGTGTTAATATCTGCCGCGACAGAATCAAAGACATGTTTTTTTCTTGTTCAATCTATGGTGAACCACACCTATGAGTTCTACTAGTAGACATGATTGGAAGCTTAAGAAAGGGATATTATGTGTGAAGGTTCAAAGGCTTGAGGCTCCTCTAAGCAGGCCAGATTGGATGACAGATTGACTGCAGTTTTACAGTATTCCCTGGGCACTATTTATAAAAAAACGTAAGCCCCACAGGGACAAGTGATACTTTTTTTGAGTTGTGAATCATTCTGCTGTGGTCGACTCTTGGGGGTCATGAAAGTAGCCATTTTTCTTTCTTGGTTTTCAAAGGTAGAGATGAACGAAGCTGTGAGTTAGTCTAGCAAACAGAAAACATTTTTGCTCGTGCAGCTGGGTTAAGTGTTAGAAGTCGGTCTTTTTAAATGCCCCTTTGGTGAAAATAAAGTTGTTTTTTTTCACTTGTTAGCATGTCCATATGGTGTTTTTATTTGCTGGAGGGCACATCATGAGCAAAATTAGCAGCCATGGCTGAGTATTGGTGCCGTTGACAGTCTCGAAAATATGGATTCAGACAGCCAGAGCTGAACAAATCTAAGGAACCAATCCTGTCACTTGCTGGGTATGGCTTCCTGTGTCATTACCCTTCTACGGAAGGGCGGAATTACTCCAATTGTGTAATGAGTAGAAAAGTTCGACAGTATCTGAGGTGAGCTGGTGTGCGAATGGAGAGAACTGGTGGAATAAAGACGTAGGGACTTCCTAGAGCTGCAGTGTAGAGTTACATCTAAGACATTTTAAGGCATAAAGGGATAATTATTCATGTGTAAAACTTATAAATATATGTCTTAGATGCATAGAGATGAGTGCCAAGAGAGGGACTTTGACATCATCACTAATAAAAATCCCGAGGATGAAACTATGTCACCCTTTTATTAACTTGTCCCGCTCTCTCGTGCAACGTCTAACCCTCCATGTCTGTTTTGTCTTTTCCTTTAATCCCTCCTTCCCCCAGCTGTTCCAGGCATGTGGCAACCTCAGAGAGGGAGGCACCAGCAGCACAGGAGTGGATGAGGTCATGAAGAGACTGCAGGTGGCAGTGGAGGACAAAGTGGCAACCAGCTCCAACAGAATTGACCAGTTGGTTAGTATTTACCCAACTGAATTTTTTGTGTTGCTGTTACAACTCTTTGATTGGCCTAATCTGGCACATTCGTAGCGATGGCTTCTGACTGGAGAGCCATTGCTCATCATGGGCAATTAAACCACTTTTTGCTGTTCATTTCATCTTTGCACAGACGACCATGGGGCGATTAGAGTGGAGTGAATGCTTGGATGGGTGAAATAGTCAGATGACTGAGCAATGCAGTTGGTTATAGAGGCATGAGGAGCTTTTCTGACTCCGCTGTTTGAGCGTACCGTCATGCTGGGATTTTTTGGGCTGTAACTATAAGAGCTCATGAATGTGCTCTTGACAACTCTGCCTCAGGTGTCTGATGTAACCGTGAGACTGAGGGACATGCAGCCATACTGGGTTTCTCTCCCGAGCGTCCTGTGCAGCGACAGAGTGGCCACCGGAACAGGGGCCGAGGAGAAGTGTTGGAATGGCATGAGCCGCGCCAGGTAGGACATACAGACCTATAAAGACATGCTCAAAATAACTACATCTGTTTTGTACATTTTTAAAGAATGCTCAGTTCAATACACTTGTTGCTTTGCTCTTTCAGCCTTATTTGATCAAGTCGTTTATGGTGGCAAATGCTAGCAAGCTTCAGCAATTTCTTTTAGATTTTCAGTGTTTCCATTCAGGGTTTGCACAAAATGACAATTTGCATAGAAAAACTTGGACGAAAACACTTGTTGTGTCCTGCTTTTGGTCCCTTTCCATTTATTCCAAGTCTGATCCTCTTTTTCCATCCATCCATCCATTATCTATACACCGCTTAATCCTCACTACAGTCGTGGGGGGCTTAGGGTGAAGGCAGGGGACACCCTGGACAGGTCACCAGTCCATCACAGGGCTACACTTAGAGACAGACAACCAAGCACACTCACATTCACACTTACGGACAATTTAGAATCACTAATTAACCTCAACATGTTTTTGGACTGTGTGGGAGGAAGCCGGAGAACCCGGAGAGAACCCACGCTGCACGGGGAGAACATGGAGACTCCACGCAGAAAGATTCCGGTGCCCCCACCGGGATGCGAACCGGCAACCTCCTTGCTGCGAGGCAACAGTGCTACCAACTGCGCCATCCTGCAGCCCCTGATCCTCTTTTTCTGTTTTTTAACTAGCAGCTGTCAGTCAGAGTTTTAAAGTTGACATGCTGCTGCCAGCCTCAGTCTCGTTAGCTAATGATGGTGTCTATAAAGCAAAGTGACTCCAAAGTGAGTCCTGGAAAACAAAGAAAGCTCAATGTGCTAAAATCTAAGCATCAAATGTTTGCCGAACATGAGTGTTTCCCTGCTTACACCAGTTTCTTTGTGCGGGTAGGTACCTTCCCGAGGTGATGGGCAATGGCCTCGCCAGTCAGATCAACAACCCAGAAGTGGAAATTGACATCACCAAACCAGACATGACAATACGCCAGCAGATAATGCAGCTGAAGATTATGACTCACCGCCTGAAGAATGCTCTCAATGGCCAGGATGTGGACTTCCAGGACACCAGTGAGTAATTTTGAAAATTCCAGCCCACAAGTTTCTAAAAGAAATTTCATCTCAGATGACTCACAGCTGATTAAAACTTTTTAAACAAGTTCCAGATTAAAAGGAATAAACAAGTCTATTTCTGTTCATCTGAGGAGGCAGCGCACTTCTGTGTTTTTGCAAACGCCAGCAAAATGGCAGAAACCTTAGCCTAAATTAGGGTGCCTTTTTGAATAACTGAGGTAGTATTTTGTACCACATGGAGTAATGAATACGTGGTGAAGCTGATTCTCATCTCTGTTGTGTGACTCGACCTTCTTCACTCATAGTTAAGTCAGTACTGTACGTGCATGGTATGTTTAATATACTAACCCTAACAGCTATATAGGCAGTACATTTTGCAATCTGTGCTGTAAGATTAAGCCCATGTCCCTGCCTTTTGTCTACAGGTGATGATGTCAGCGGTTCAGGAAGCGGCATGTGTGCAGATGACATGTGCTCCCGGGGCCCACGCCTCGTCGTCCCCGTCACCGAGCGACCCATAGTCTACCAATACCCTCCAGAAAACAAGAAGGTGAAAGCGTCGGCCAAGCAGAACCTCCCCTCCGTCACCACTTACCTGCTTCCGCTGCTCATTTTGCTGCTCCGGCGATAATTGTCGGGGGGAACCTACCAACTGGGACTGAGTTTGGGACACGGGGGTTGGGGAGAGTTTGAAAGGAGAGAGAGAGGAGAAGTCGGGGGTTAGTTACTTTGCCAAAACTTAAAAAAAATAATAATAATAATAAAGTAAAAAAAAAAAAAAAAATGTTTAAGGAAATGACAACAAAAAAAAAATCACTTGGATGGACTTCATTTGGTTTTGGAATAGAACAAAATGGAAATATTCAGAAATGTTTTTGTTCTGCTCTTGTCTTTTTTTTTTTTCTTTTTTCTTGCTATATTATGACGCCATTAGAGCTGGTCTTTTTGCATCTTCTAATGTTTTGTTTCTGGTTGTTTGGGTTCTCTGAGATTATATCTGCACCTAAGACATGCGTAGGACTACACTGCTGTTGGTGTTGACGCCACGGGGAGAGGGAGAACGGAGCTCTGCAGTGTGTCGTTATTCCACTTGTAGAATTATTTATTTATTGATAATCACCCAAACGGACCCCTAGACTGGATTGATCACAGATATGTAAAACAAACTACACAAACTTTTAAAGAATTAGAGTGCTGATAACTTTTAAAGGAGCATAACACATCACCAAACCTTTTAATGCATTAAAGCCTCACAATATCATTACACACACTCGCGAGGACGAGAGCACTCCGCGTCAGCACTTTCGGCCGTTTCATCATGTCGGTAATAATAATAATAGCCGTGATCACATTCACACTGACATGATTTGTCCAGTGTGGGCGTAACGTGGCCTGTCTTCCACTCCATCCATCCACTCGCCCCTACATTCCCCTCTGCCCGCCCGCTGAGGGCAGATCTCCCTCTCTCTCCATGACTCCTGCCGGCAGTTCAGCATCGCATCCCGGTGTGAGCGAAGCACGTGCTCGACCGGTCTGACGGCGGCCTCCCTCCGCCGCACGTGTGGAACGGAGGTTTTAAGGTTGTACCCTCACAGCAAAAGGATGGGCAGTTCATGATCTCGGGTGCTTGTAGCAGAACGGAAATGTACACAGAAGCAGAAACACTGCTGCCCTGCTGCACTTTTCTTTTTGTTTTCCTTTTATGTCCACAGCAGAGCAAAAATATAATATGCATAATTTTGTGTGTTCCCTACAAAGGCGCCGTGTTCCTGTAATTAGCAACATAATTTCAGTGTCATAGTTTGTTTTTTTTTGTATAATTGCAGCAATGATCCATATCACAGTAAAAGCCACACCGTGCACGTCTTTGAGAAGTACTACTCTTTCTATGGCAAACAAAACAGTGTACATAATTTTTTGATTGCTTCTTTGTTGTTTTCTAGAAGAAGAAGAAAAAAAAATAGCCAATTAGGTACCAAAATTTTATAATTCTTCAGACCATTGTATGCTTTTACTGTTCTTTTCATCATCTCTCAGAGTATCCACATCTGCCTTTCATTTCTCTGCAACTTTTTCTATATCAGTGCCTCTTTGTTCCCAGCCTCTCTCTACCCTTTTCCCCCGCTCATCAGTTATAACGACCTTTAAAGTGTTCCTCATGCTTCTACATGACGGCAAGGCAATATGACAATGACACAGTGCTTCGTCACGTGTCAAACTTACTGGGAATGTTATGGGAACACAGTGGAAGGCTTTTCCCGACGAGACGCTTGCGAGGGAGAAAAACACGTTTTAATTCAAAGAAATGTCAAAGCTCTCATTTAAGAATGCTACGTGCAGGATGATGGGACGGCGCTTGCATGTGTGTTTGTGTTTTATTGCGTGTGAATGCGTGTCTTCGACTGACAAAAGAGCAAAAAAAGAGGAAACGGACGACGGAGCCTTTATGAATCCGGTTTGGGAGTGAAATCTATTGAAATGTATTGGAGTAACATCGTCTGACGGAGTGCTATTAAACTGACAGCAATGGGAGATTAATACGGCTCATTTTTCAAAAATAGTACGACTGTAATAACTCACAGTCTGTATTCATGGTATCGGGGGAAAGTGGAGGATTAAAGTGGACATACGTTTTTTTTTTAAGTGCATCATTGCTTCAGTTGCACACTGGGACAATCCACTATAATTCAAAAAAATAATAATCTATACTGCAAATCTGTTTAGATAGTTTTGGCTCTGTCAAAGAAGTAAATCTGTTAGCTACTTAATTACTGCTCTGAAAACGGGTGAGGTTGTCGTCATACGTGTTCCGTGGCAGGTTATTTTGATGGTGTTTTCCTTTTTTTTTTGATATGCTTTATTAATGAATGATTTGTTGCTGTGTGTATGTGTTGTTTGTGTCTCTCCTTCTGTTAGTCCCTGGTTAAGAAATCTGCCTGTGACTGCCTTTGACGCTTTGGGGTCAATTTTGAGATTTAAAAGAGAGCGATATTACGATGATCAGTTGTTCCTTTGCGGACGAAACTTATGCATTTTGACAGAGAACGATAAGCGAGCACGCCACGTGGGTTCTCTTTTTGGTTTTTTTTGTGACCCCCTTTAGAGAAAATCTGAATGTGAACATGCAGCCCTGCAAAAGAATTAAGAAATTACTCCAACTGTGATGGTGACATTCCAGTTTCAAAGATGACCCGCGACTTTAGACTCACGACTTCAGTTTCAATGACTGCCTCACAATGTCATCGGCTGAAATTTGCACAACCCCGCCCCTCCGCCCACTCCTCCTTCACTTTTTGATCTCATTAATTTGTTGTTCAAAGTCCCACCTCCCCTCCCCTCCCTTTTGTAAAAAAAAAAAAAAAAAAACCTGCACTTTTATGAGGCCAATAAATGGCATTGTCTGCACAAAGACATCACAAGATGGTCGATCGATGCGTGAGTCAACACCTTCCAGAAACGACTATTGATTGGGGATGCGCGTATGCAGATAGATATGGCCCAGCAAGACGTCTCCTGTTTGACTATGGTGAAACAGTGTAAACATGAAGCCCCCTGAGTGTGAGAGGAAGCAGGAGAAAGGATTGCCCATGGCGCCTGATCTCAAATCGGCGCGTACGCCTCGATCCTGCCTTCATTTGTTTCTGTAGGTGGCGAAAAAAAATAAAGAAATAAAAAAAAGCAAAGCTGACTATTCAACCGTTTAAAAAAAAACAGCTTTATTCTACACTGAGTTGAGAATGGGAGGCATTTCTGAACGGTGCCAATTTATGAGGAGGAGGAAAAAAAAAAAAAAAGTACTTATATTTTTCTTGTTTTATTTTACTTTGGTTTTATTGTTATCGAAAAATCTATGGAGAGTTTGTTCTTATGTTGAAGATAGTCGCCAGAAAGAGGTTGAAAAATATCTAAAAATGTCTCATTTGCTGTTGTACCTGAAATCTTGTGTCAATTATATACATTGTAAGATTTTCAACACTCCTGTGTCCTGTTTCTTCAAACGTGGGTGTGTGTTTGTGTGAATGTTTTTTTGACAGATAAGAAAAAAAAGTTTTATAATCACACATGGTAGATTTTAAATTCATAAACCAGCTGCTCAGACAACAATCATAACCGACTATATCTACATTTCTTAGCAAAAGGAAGCGTCTGGTCTTCTTCAAATTGACCGTACCATCTGCCTAAGTTGTTTTCTCCGAGCTGGGATGATGTCAGAGTTGACAGCTGCTGTCGAGTGTTGCCACACAGGAAAAAAAAAAAACTGCCACATGTTTGGAGCACACTCAGTGCTTTAGCTAGTTTCTGTGTGTAGACAATAAAATGATCAGGATTGTTCCAATGACTTAACCGTGACCCTACGAGAGTCTGAAATGCTGCCCCTCGTATATCGGCCATAAGCTAGCTCTCAGAAAGTGACTAGAAATCGACTTCCGTTCCAGTATCCTGGGAAATACTTTTAATTGTGGTTTTTTAATCAAATAAAATAGTTGAACTTCTTCCAAAAAAAAAGTTTCACAAGTAGACTCCCTGCAGTTTTTGAGTAATCGTCTTCCAAAGTTGGAAAATTCATGAAAAATTTTAGTCTCTAATAGCATTTTTCACTCCAATTATCTCAAAAAGTGAAAAGACCATACACTCCAAACTTGACACTTACATAGACAATCCCAAAAATGTTCAACATGTTGGATATTAAGTGGATAGGAGCGCCAAAACTCTCCTAAACAAGCACACAAGGGGACCTAATTCTTCAACATTTTGGATTACATTTTATGACCAATAAATGAATAACAAATTGCTCCAAATAAGTTCCAAACATTCTACAGAGTGCTATTTACTTTGGTCACAATGTCAATCGGTCAGTCAGAAACGAAATTTATATTCACTTACTGTGTCAATTTCTTTAGATCTAAACTGGATAATCAGCATCACTGTCATCACCATCATTGGGAATGTCCTCTTGGCTCACTGTGACAGTTCTTGCACCCACAGAAGTCTGTACAACTCAGATTTGTAGATTTACAGCTACACCGTTTTGTAGCGCGTTCTCCTGTTTTACAGTTACAGCTAATTAGCTTTCAGCACCTCTCTCGGAGTAGGATCATTGAATTGATGGAGAGTTTATTTTTCTCGGACCCTCCAGCCGTGGCCTTCTGGTGATTCAATTCAATTCAATTCAGTTTTATTTGTATAGCGCATATTTACAACAACAAGTCATCTCATAGCGCTTCACAAAGGCAGAGACAGAAACAGCCAACAATCCAAAACATTTGGATTCCCTATAAGCTTCAGCAGTCCGCAAGCAGTCCGCAACAGTGGGAAGGAACCAAAAACCCCATGATGGCGCACATATTTTTGGCGGCAGAGCACGACGATGAATGGCAGCTTGATAGTTTGCCCTCAGTGTGTGCAACTTAGGAGCATCAGCAGCAGGAGGCAAACTTTGCTCCGTTGACGAAACACACAGTACCTGGCTTCATTCACACTTTCCAAGTCCTGTCCATACAAACCTTTCCAAAGTGGTCGGTGTGTTGTCATCCACATCAAAGCTGCGTCCAGTGAATTCCTGGTCACTGAAGGCGGTCTTGAATGCTTTCTCCTTCCCCTTTCCATAGAAGTGACAGAATCACAACCACTGAAG